AAAATTTATTTAATATGATAAAATTGTATAATACAAACTCGCGCATCGCGCGGGTCATAATTTAGTGTGTTAAAATGGTAAAGTTAATTTGTTGTAAATCAAATTTTTAGAAATGGAGGGAGTGTTTGAAAAATATGGTAAACGATTAATTTATTTTCTTAATATATATGTGTAATCAAATAAGTATAATTAACGCACCCGACGGCATTCCAATATGGATGAAAACGCACCGATTTTATGCTGTGGTGGTCTCGGGACATGATGCTGTGGTGGCCATTTTCTGTAACCCGTTTCGTCAAGTTTCTTTGGACACAAGTGATTGACTATCAGACTGTGACTATTTCTATACAAATATGATTTATTCATTGTTCTCTAATTGATTTTGGTACATGATATGTTTGAAATTTACAAGTTGAAACAAAAAATTACAAGTGGCTAATAATTTTTTTAAGATACGCCACCACATTAAAGAGTGGAAATTTGGCAAATAACATTAATTAGGGGAGAAAACTCATTCGGTACCCGAATGGGGAAGAAAATTTATTTGTAGATTGTTGGTGTTATCAAATTGAAAAACGGCTATAGGCATTGGTATTATTGGTATATGTGAGAAGTGTGAAGAGTTTAGGAATCTGTTTGTAGTATTAGGTGTAGTACGAAAGAAATGCAGTATACTTTATATGAATCTTGGTTGGCTAGAGGAGAAAATCCGCTCGTTCCCCGCGATGAGAAATTTTTTTTAAGAGTGTTGGTATTAACAAATTGAAGAACGGGTATAGGCATTGGTAGTATTGGTATACGTGAGAGGTGTGAGGAGTGTATGAATCTGTTTGTAGTATTAGGTGTAGTATGAAAGAAAGTCTTCACAGAACGGGTTTTAATTGAGCTGATACAATTAAAACCTGCGACAACTTCTTTTGTAATATTATCAACTTCAGAGTCATTGCTTGATAGTCCATCATCAGTATCTTGATCAGTGTATATCATATTGTCATCATCAGTAGCTAATAGGTGTCCTATATAGGAAATGAAAATTAGTAAGTTGACATTTAGAGTAGCCGCAATCTTGAGAAAAAAATCTTTCAAAAAAATCCTTTTGTCATATACAAAGTTTAATCATTTAATTAGTGAATATTCGTTAATCACTCAATTTTGTTGAAGATTTACTATATTATCGCATCAGTTTTCCAAAGATTAAAAATTTAATGATTACAATTCCATAAATATCTGTAACTAATTGTTAATTTCTTTTCTTGTTTTTACGTTTAAGACTATGTTCATTTGCATCCTTAAAACTCTATAAATATATGTTTAATTATCTCAAAACTAAAATAATTTTCTAATATCAATGTTATATTCGTATTGTTGTCTATGTTGTAAGAAATCGATTTTTATTTACAAACACAAAACTAATATTGTATCATGATTTCCATGTATGCAACCCTACCATATTATAAAACGTGAATAAAATTTTATGCATAAAACAAAAATTACCGCACAAAGTGCGGATGAGAATCTAGACATCGCAAGAAATAAATTTAAATACCTTACAATTATTTTTATAAAACCCGTTATGTGAAGACTTTCTTTCGTACTACAACAATAGACAAAAACATTGTAAACGTCTTAACAAAGACATAAAAACTGAAATATTTTAATTCGATTAAAATATTAAACTTTTCATCCCTTTGCTAATACGGATAAAAATATTTTAACCCACATGCGTAACATTAAAACTATTGGGTAAGCTTAGAATATTTATCATATATCAGAATCTAATCAAATTAAAACCAAAATATTATAAACTGATCGATTTATAATATTTTAGGTTTTTGAAAAAATCGATATATGTAACCTATCCCAAATTTTATTTGATACAACTATCCGTGTTAATCGAATAACCGAATTAGTATTAAACCAAAAAAAAACCCAAATTTGGACGCCTATGTAGATAGGCTTCCGATTTACGTTTTTGTGAATCATGGTTGATCGTATTTATACCAAGAATTTAGATCAAAAAACTCTCCCAAAAACGATGTGGGACAAATAATTCTATAAAACCAAGAGTTTCGAATGGGTTACAATGTTTTTGTGCTTTTTTTCTTTTTGTGATCCAATAAAGAAATCAGATGTAATAAAACACTCAAATATTACGGAAATGCCATTAGTGAAATCGGATCCGACCGGGTAAAAAGAGGATCCGCACGCCGCTCCACTGTTTGAAATCGAGTCTGATTTTTTTTACCATTTTGCCCTCTCGATTTCAGAAATGTTTTTAGAAAATGGATTTTTGAGTAGCAATTAACGTAATAAGAACTCAATTTCAGACCTATTAGTTATTTCTATAAACCCCGTTATGTGAAGACTTTCTTTTGCACTACACCTAATACTACAAACATATTCATACACTCCTCAGACATCTCGTATATACCAATACTACAAATGCCTA